TAGAATAGAATAGATCCAGAAGAGAATTGAATCCACAACGTTCAGGCACTCTGGGACCCACATCCCAACATGTTCGTCCATCATTTCCTCTGTTATAATGTAAGTATATATAATTTTGTATTAATTGATATTTGGTAAATTTATAACCAAAAATAAGTTTTTTGTCTCTGGCAATCTTTTTATTATTGGGTCTATGAGTGCATAAAGGTGCACTCTCCATACTGCATTTTTCCTCTCATCTTAAGTCAGTTGCTTGTGCAGAAGATATTCCTGCAAGTCTACACCATCTTAATTATACAAAGCAGTCATTTAATGTGTTGGACTTATAAAACTGAGAAGCTCGAAGATCATTAAATGTTATCCTCTATCTTTTCTTATTGGGCCAAGAAATTGTCTCAGCCCTCTTTTCTTAGACTCGTTTATTTTTACTGCCAAGATTTTCTGTTTGAACCAGGTATGGTTTAGAATGAGTCCGATGATTGATTTATCCAAATTTATCTTTGAACTCCTGAGAAAGCTTCTTGATAAGAACCAACATGTTTTTTTAGTACCATTAACTCACCTTTATATCTCTTTCAGTCCATCATCGACCATTAACCCCAGATGCTTAAAACTGGAAACACATTGAGATGTGAACATTCCTACTAGGTGCTATTTTATTGGTTTTGGAGGTACATTGTTTTCATTTTGCTTTATTTATGAAAGTCCTGTTGTTTCCAATTCCCTCGCCAACCTTTTACAACCCTCTATTATAGCCTTTATCTGTATTTCCAACTATGGTCTCATCATCAGATCTCATAATGATCTAGATACAGGAAAACTGAGCATTTGTTCTCAGTTGTCATTTATTTTCTAGTGTATTCTTACCAATAGTAGGTATAAATATGGCTTCATTTTCTAATATGAACATTAAAATCATTATTCAATAGATCAAAATCATGTTTATATCAATAGAGAGGGAAGAATCTATGGTTCGTTTTCTTATGTAGGAGCAGCATGAACATTCATAACAATGATATTTGTTTAACCTCTTTCCATGCTGTCATAATTTGTATATTCTTTAGTTTGTTGATAAGAAATCAAGCGATGCTTTAACCATTTGCTTTGATTTTCATCCCGATCCAAACTCATGTCTATTCCAGTTATGTTTTTAAAAAAATGGTTAAAATTTTTTCCGGTTTGCTTTCCATATACTGTTTTCTGGATAGCTATTATATCCATCTTATTTTTAACTGATCTAATAAATATTAATTACTTAAATTCAGTAACTTTGTAAATCTTTTATAATTGTGGGAAAATACATTTAATTAATCCAGTGCTCACATTAAATGTAAATAAAAATTAAATTGTGTGATTTTTTAAATTTTCTAGATTTCTGCACCCTTATCTGTTATTGAAGAAAATAAAATATATAACCAGCTATATTAGGTTGATATTGTATATAATTCAGGCTATCAAATTGGTACCTTGGGTATCAATTTAAAAAATTGCTCAATAAATAAAATAGTAAAACTTTTCTGATAGGAAATAGGTACTTGGTTTTTATCTCATGCATCTTTAGCTAAATTTGATAATTTCTGAGATGTATAAGAAAAAACAAAAAAGTGGGCTTCAAAGAGCTCCCCTTTTTTCCACCCACAGAGATTTCTATTACGTTGTAGAGAACATTCCAAAAAGCAGGACTGTATATTTTTTTTCTAATCGGTGATTTTCAGCCTTCATTGTGTCTGCTATTCTTTACTAAGTACTTAATCCAAGAGGTCAAATTATTATTTTTTTTTTTTTGTTCATATTATTTATTTAAGATGAAAATTTGTTTTAAAAATTTTATGAATTAAATATTCTTTTGGACACATACACATTCAATATTGTTTAGGACACATTTTTTTAAAATTCATTAACAAAATGTAGAAAGTTACATGATTTTTCATTTCTATGTAAAATTATTTTAAATGTAAAGTAAAATTTATTATAGAGGTACACGCTGTTGCTTCAACAATATTTTTACAATAAATAAAAATAATAAAGTAAAGTATCACTAAGCTCATCATTAGCAGAAAAACAAGAATAACTAACTATTGTTATTTAAATTTTTGAAATAAATATTTGTTCTCCCTCAAGCATTTTGGTTTATTTACTGCCAGGCAATAGAGGTTTTTTGTATTTAATAATATTTCTGAATAAATCTTTTATCAAAACTTTATTTTTATAACAAATCATAAAAAATTTATTTAATGCTCACAAATTCCTTCCTTAACTCTATAAATTGATTGCTGATACAAAATTTTAACAAATATATTAAATTAATGAACAGTGGTAACAATGCACTGTAAAACAGGAGAACTTTATATTTAGGGGATAACATAACTCTAAAACTGGAATAATTTCTTTGACAAAATAAGCAAAAAATAATAGAGTGGCAGACTAATGAATGACTACTTTATAGAACAAAATTTTTCAGGAGCTTTGAAAATAACATTTTAGAGCAAGAAAGTTTGGTAAAAACCCACTAAGGTGCAAAGTTCCCCCATTTTATGGTTCCATTTAATATAAATTAAAGAATAATACTCAATATAAAGAGAGAGAAAACAGGCTTATACATGAAATTATTTTCTACATTGCAACTACATTTATACATAAATGAAAAAGTGTCTGATTAATAAATGCTTATTCCTCAATTTGTACTTAGGCTATTAATTTTTATTCCATAGGAATTAAATAAATTGTAGGGTTTTAAAATTTTAATTTAATTACATTTTTTTATAAAAATAATAATGGACCGTAGTACAGTTTCACTATGTAAAACAATTATATAAGAATTAATATTTAATTAACCAGTACCATTTTTTCATCGGATTCAATAAGCCCATGTTTCAAAAAGAACTCTCTTTTTATGTAAGCAAATAATAAATCAGTAATGAGGAATATTTGTGCTGTAGCAAATGCTAACGTAACACCAAAATAAAAGTTAGCATTTGCTGAGCGTGAATAAATCCATAAATACCACACAGTGGGCCCTAAGACTGAAGTCACAATTAAAGCACATAGTATAATGAATGCCTGCTGCATTTTGCTATGAAGATGCTTCCACATAGGGAGCAGAGACAAATAAAATCCAACATCACCTAAGCATGGATAAGATTTAAATACGGCAATTAATGCAGTTAAACTTGTAGCCAAAAGCATTGGATTTTTATGAAACCTAAGGCTAAGCGGTGCCAAATAAAGCAAAGTAGCATTCAATTGAAACGAAAATATAAACAATAATCTAAAATGTTCGAACATTTCAGTGAAAAAGTACCAGAATAGACCAATGTTTGGTCTTAAATCAGTAACTGTTAATATGACTACATAAACGGAACGCAAAAACCTCCAATCATTGGTAATTCTGTAGGAAACATAAAAAATCCCAGCCATTGCTAAAGTGAAAATAGTTACTGTACACAGTACAGACAGAATCTTTGTCTTTTCTTTTTTAGCAATATAAATGCAGACGGGGATTATTAGCACTATAGTGTAAAATGTTTGGTATACATTCAATCCTAGGGCTAAACAACAACTGATTCTCCAACCTTTTATCATACTTAAAAATGCAATTGCTAAACAAAGATTTCCTAAAGTAGTAGTTGTAAAACCAACACAATTAAGGATAGTATAAGGATTAAATAAATAAACAATTAGCACATACTTCGGCGATAACTGAAAATAATTTTCATTAAGTAATAATACTGAAGCACTTTCGGCATAACCATCCTTTTCAGCATTTTGCCTGTCTTCCATTTCTTTCATGTACTCACACGCTGTCCAATATAGTGCAAGCCCAGTAACTAGATCACATGCTATAAAAATCGCACTAATATAATTGGGAACATGAGCTAAGATGAAATCAAACACTACCAGGCCAATCGGTGTTTCGTGAAACGCATCACCATCATATGGATTTATGCCCTCTCTGTACAAAGATACACCTTCAACAACTCTCCTCCAAGAATTTAGTAATGTAGAAACTTCAACTCTATTTGCAATTAGTTCTTTATATGGTGAAACAATCAATATTAACCGAACCAGCACTGCAAGACCAAGTTTGAGTAATAATTTTGACAATGGTTCAGAAGACATTCTGGAAACTACTAATCTTCAATGTTATCACTCAAAACACAAAATGGAGGTAATTGAATTGCTAATATTCATTTCAATATAGGATGCCGGTGTTATATCTTCTTTTTAAATATCATGTATTCTGTGAGCAATATCTTCTTTTCATTATTAATGAATACTTAATTTTTCATCAAAAAGATTTTAAAAAATGTTATCACCTCACTAAAAAACCGATATTGTTTATATACTTACTAAGGAGGAGGTTACTGGAAGGTTGCGCTAAAGAGGAACGGCTTAACTAAGAGCAAGTTTCTAAACTCAGTGTAAAATTTCCGTCCGCCTGGACCTTGAACTGTTAATTTATTAGCTCCAAACAACAAATTTGAAAGTTTTATCTTGCTAATATTCATCAGTCATACGGTAAGACTGACTGAACCCAACTTAGAGGAAAAAGCCATTTTTTTTTTTATAATAACTTGTTTATTTACCATTGGTCTTTAAATTTAAAAATATAGTAATTTCTAAAATCAAATTAAAATCTTTTAAAATTAAAATTTTCTTTTTTTTTATGTTTGATAACAAAAATTCTTATTTACCCAAAAATAAAATGTTTAATATTTCAAAATTCTATGGTGGGTCACGCTCACTGAGGCCCTCAAAAAAGAATAAATTGAGTGATAACTTTATTTAAAAAGTAATCAACATTATATATATTCATTAATCAAAGCGTTATCTGTTGACAAAAAAAATGAGTCCGCAAATATATATATCCACCCAAGGCCCTTGTTTATTAGAGGATCTTAAAAATCAATTTTTTTTTTATTTTTAAAATTGCATTGTCAAGGTAAAAATGTGATTGCTAAAAATAAAAATAAATTTATATTCATATATTTTGATAATTCCAAACATATGTAAGCATATTCAATTTCTTGATGTTAAGAATTACTTTAAAATTTGTTGTATTTAATGCCATATTAAAATTATAATAATTAATTCAAATAATGGATACTTTTCAAAAAGATTTAATTAGACAACGCATCCAACATATTACACCTTCTATTCATATGCAAAGAAGGATTAGGAGGAAGGTCGAATTTAAAGAATATTTATTGAAGACGGGTGTCCAATTTGAATTGGCCAAATGCCTGAGGATGCTGTACGAAGAACCCATCAAGCCTAGAGATCCAATCGATTATATAGGTAAACATATTGGACCCCCTCGAATAAGTGGTGTAGAGTACAGAAGATTACATGAAAAACTTTTGATGAGCTTACAACGGATTAAGGAGTTGAATGAAGAGTTGGAATGGTATAAGGCAGGAAGGAGTAATAGTAACATTACAGAAGACAGTGAAAACTTCATTTCAACTTCCATCTTTTGCCCTTCACCGTCCAGTGAGGTGATTTAGACTATTTCACTATTTTATTTTCCTGCTGTTGAGTCGATCGTTATGGACATCCTATTAAGTTATGAGATACAAAAACATGTGATTTGGCTTTCCGTCGACTAGTCTAGTTTCGACAATTAAGGGTACTGCAATCAGGATCAATCAAGAAACACAAATAAACGTCTTTTATACGCAAATGACGGATGTAGATGACAAATTAGTATAAAATATTTGAATGTTAAGATTTTCTTGAGAAATATTAGGAGTGACTATGTGCAAAGTAAAAAAGGATTATTGTCATCTAGTCCTTTTACGGAGGATCACTTCGTCCCTAATTTGGATGGAATTAGCCTCTCTATTCGTCGCCCTACTTGAAGAAACTAAATGACTAGCTGTAGGAATGACTTCCACACCTTAACCGAAAGTCTGAATGTGAAAATCAAGGTGGTACCGCTTTGACGATTTAAGCCATGTTTTGTCTCGGTGAAAGACAGAGGCATTGTTGCCGCCCCGCCAACCTTGGAACAGCCATGATAGATAATCTAATCGATTAGACAATGTCAGTAAGTGCTTGAAGGTTGGAGAGCATTTCCCAGGTGCTCCAAAGGCACATGTTACGAAGGTATAGACAGCCTTTCGCTGCTTCGTAAATTCTTTTGCTAACAGCAATCGACAGGGACGTATCCATCTTTATGGTTTACAAGAATTAGGGAGGCATTATTTAAAACAATTTTAATATAAAAAGTTTTTCTCCATGTATTGGATTTTGTAGTTAGCGACCAAGGCCGTTACTAGGGAGGAGCAGAGGGAGAAATTGTCTTGGGCGGGAGAATATAAAGACATATTTTTAGTTTAAATAAACAATATCCGAATTCAGTCATCAACTGTCTAATCCTAGTTCCGGCACTGGTAACGACTACTGACGTCGCGTTCGAACCGAACCGATTCGTAAATAACAATAGCCTAATTTTCTCAAGTATCGGAGAGTATGCACGGTCAACATTTACCAGGTATTATAAGATCACACTTGAAACAAATTCGTTCGATTTTAACGTATTAGCGAGTTCTGCATCATTCGTCACAGGGGAAGGCCTGATCGTTATATCTCGATATTCTCTAGAAAATTCTAACCTACATCACTCAACAATATTGTTGATTTCCTCCAAGTTCGGGTCAAATCAAATGCGCCGTTTTCAAACTATAGGCATATCAAATATCACATTTCCTGATCTGAAAGCGAAAGGTTTTTTTTGGAGTAGTAGATAGAATTTGATAAAATTTATGCCTATTTCATTTTACGTTTACCAATCCCTAAATTCCCTCAAAATTTGAGCCAAATTGAACTTGCGGTTTTAGAGATATAGACGTATCAAGGAAAACACATTCCCGCACAATTCCTGAAAATATTATGAAAATTGGATGAACCGTAGTAGTTGGTATGCCAGTTACATCGATTTGACTACAGATAGACAGACACCGAACCAAATTCGATCCTTGATGTCTAAAACGTAAGACACGAGTGGAAATTTTCGATTCTGAGCACAAAATTTTTTTTTTTAACCTCTCTTACAAAAATAATGCTTCCCTGCTGCTTTTCTCCGAGACTACGGAACCGATTGTTTTGAGGTCTGGTATCAACGTCAAAAGGCACCCGAAGATGATCCTCGGAACTCGATGAAACTTGACTAAAGTCTCCTCATTTAAAGCCCTTTAAATTTATTTATATATCATATTTCACCATTAATAAAGTTACGAGGTGTGGACAAATTAGATTTCCCAATAATTCAAAAAGTATACACTTTTTTTGCCGTTGTTATGTGGTCATTTAAAATTCACAAAATTTCTAAAAGAACAGAAAAGAAAAAGCATGTGTTGTTCTAAATATTTTCAACATGTTCTACTGCAGAAGTGATATTCTTTATTTTTATTTTAGGACGTTCTTACATCACCTATGCAATTGAGCTTGTCTCTATTTAAAAAAAAAAAATTGTAATTATTCAGGCATACATTAGGAATCACTTTTTAATAAATTTCCTTTATATGATAAAGAAAGTAATGTTACTTATAATATATAATGGATTGGAAATAATAATGGAATTATGTAATCATTTGTAGCGTTTTTATTTTACTCTTAAGAAATATACCAACATGTTCTAAACCGAATGGAAAAATATATTTATTCTTTAAATAACATCTGCTTTATTTTAGAAAAATAAAACTGCTGTTGCTATTGTTGAGATCTTTCCGAAGCTCTATCTTCTCTTGCCTCGTCACAGATCGGCTGAGGGTTGCCGTAGCTAGCAAGCTCTTCTTCGAGCTTTTTTATTATTTTATACTTGGCTTGGAGTTCATCGGACATCTTCTTGAATTCGGCTTCAGAGGCTCTGGGTTGGCCGATATTAGAGCAAATAAAATCGATGGGATTTTTGGGTTTTGTTGGTTGCTCGCAAAGCACCTTGAGCGCTTTGGAAAGGCTTTGGTACACACCTGACCGGTGTAAGTATTCTCTGAAGTCTTTTTTCCTCTTCTCTTTTTCTCTGAAACTTTTGGAAGGTGTTGGATCTATTGTTTCTATAAGATTATCCAAGTCCTCTAAGAAGTCATTCATCTTCAGAGGAATGATTTAAATTTAGGATTTTGCTTTGAATCTAATTAAAATTCTAATAAATAGAATTTTTAACATCTGTTTTACAGCATTATGTTTCTACTTTCCTACTGATACTAAGTAATGGAAATATTTTAGTCGGATAAAGTTTTTTATGAGCATTTTTCGTCAGAAACATCACGTTTCGGGGTTTTTCTTTTATGCCGCTATAGAACGATTGGATATATTTTGTTGATTTGATTTTATCGTTTTGTAGAGTTTCGGCCCTCTATGCCTTTCTTAATAAATGGGCATCCTCAATAATGGAATAAATAGTTCATCTGTTAACTTCAGCACCAATAAGGATTTCGATTCGATATACATTTCGATAAAACTTGCCTTACGATTTCTGATCAAATAAATTTATATTTTCATTTTTATTATATGCCATAGAAAAATAACAGAAAACAAGACATTTTTTGCTCATAATTCAAAAAGTTGCTCAGTTTGAACAGAAATGTAATTATTGCAATGAAAGTTATGTGATGCATACAAGACCAGATTTTTAAAAATTAATTAAGCTGTCACTATAATAGAATAAATATATATATATATATATATATATATATATATAAAAAAACAAAAAACTTGTACCACTAACAACCCACAAATGGTCTTGGGTTCAATAACAGGCCGATTTATGGGGAGGAGGGAAGGATACTTTTGGACTGAAGCCTCCCTCCCCCCAAAATGGTAAAATATAACTATGTTTTATAGAAAAATATATTAAAAACTATCTCTTAAACTATTATTGTTCGTGTAATTACATTTAATAAGACTTCAAGAATCATTAAGACACCATGTCATATGGATAGTTAGTTTCTTTTTTTCAAATTAATTATCGTTATATATATGAAAAAAAAATCCTTCAGGCTGAAGCCTCCCCCCCCAAAAATTAAATCCTGGATCCGCTAGTGCAAAATACAAAAGGTTAATGTTGTGCAGGGAGGTGACAGGCCAATATCACGCTTAACCATCAGGTTTTTCCCATTAATTAATTACTTAATTAAGAGTACCAACTTTATAGAGACTGGGTTTGTCCCAGGACGGTCTCTCTGCCACAGGGTCGACCCATGGCTGATGAAAAATTACTAGTCATCAGCTGTACTCAACCTGGGACTTTGAGGACTGGAAGTTAGTGCTCACCCACTGAGCTACCCCACTCCGATATAGAATGCATATAATGTAGAGAAAACTTGATAACAAAAACAAGGTTGTTTTTTTTGCTCATAAATCAAAATGTTTTTAAAGTCCTAAGTAATAACTTGAAAGGATATACATTTTCTGGAAAAAAATAAATAAAATTATTGAAATCGAATCGTTATCATCAAAGATACAGCTTATTATATTTTGTATCCATGTTTTTAAAAATATTTTGTAAAGATTCTCATGGAAACCCTTCACTTTTTAAAATTTTTATGAAAAATATGCATCTTCAGGAGCTTATAGATGCTCCCTTGAAAGATAATTAAATTATTTCCAAAGTTGAACTTAGAAAAAAAGTCTGCTTAGTTTCTTCACTATTTCTATTGGATACATAATTAGATAGAAATCTATATTTCAAGGCTATAATTTGTTGTTTGAGAAAAAAATCTATAAAAGGCATTGAAACGTCAACAAGCCAAATTAAAAAAATCTAGACTGAAAATCATGACTAATTATCATGCTGGTGATTTTAACAAACAAAAATATTCATCTCTACAAGAGAAGCCACTTTTAAATATATTTATTTCGAAAAACGCACCTCTCAGCGAAAGAAGTGGACAGAATTTGATAGAATTCATAATGGACTCTGTAGATATTAACACTCATAAGCCCAGAAAATTTCATCACATTGAATTAATAGTAGAAATCTGAGTAAACATTATATGAAGAACTCCTTTAGTAAACAAGTAACCTTTTATCATTTCAATAATAATAAACTTACAAATTATTTCATATGATCAAAAGAATGTAAAACAAATGAAAACATTCAAGATTTAAAAAAAAAATTAATATGACATATTTCACAAGGTTTGAGCTTAATTTGCCCATTTAGGCCTAACTTTGTTTTCGTATAAATGTTACACCCAATTAAAAAAAATGCTAACCTCATATAACTGCATTGTAAATATTATCTTCCTTTCAATATATCCATTGCCTTTATATTCCTTACAATTAGGTACATAAATAATTTTAATTGCTAAATAGCCTATAGCTATTACATTAGTACACTCTTCCCCAAATACCCTTCAGCTTTGTGAACCAAATTGAACGAGCCATTTTTGAAATATAGGAATATAAGAGGAGAAATATAGGAGTAATTCCTTGGTATTTTCCTCTTCTAAGTCCTCAGACCCAAAAGTCCGCCCTACATCCTAGAACTCCTTACTCTACACTCCTCTAAATACCAGATCTCAACTAATACATCTATATATTCTCTTCCATAATAGCACTTCCTAGAGCAAATCCTTCGTCATTTGTGCTGTCTCTTTTTGGAACACCTCCAATGCTGTCTCCATTGGTCAAACCATGTCCACATATTCCTTTAAACAACTTCTATTCCACCTACTACATATTCAAACTTCGGCAAGCTTTTAAGAATTTCTAGGTTTGTAATTACTATTACTCATCAACAGTTAACTGATAAGTCATTTTATTTTTATTTATTTACTGTTTCTCAGCATTTTTTGTTACTTTTTTTTGGCACTGCGATCCAATTGGCCTGCTTCTCCACTCTTCTTTATCTCGGGCGAACATTCTCCGGATTACCATCGTTTTCAGGATGTCCCCCACCTCAGACTGGACCTTCCTCTGCTATGCCTTTCACCAGATCGATAATTCAGCAGGTGTTTGGGAATGGAATCCCTGGGCATATGTGCCACATGGCCCAAACATCTGATTTGGTTACTTCTTACAGTTGAGATCAAATCCAGCCTTGCACAGATCTCGTACAGCTCTTTATTGGTGCGAATCCTCCACTGCTCATACTCACACACCGGACCATAGATCCTGCGGAGAACCCTTCTCTTCCATGCGAGTAGCTTCCTTTCTGATGCTTTAGAGATTACCCAAGCCTCAGAACCATAGGTGACGTGTCTTATGACTTTCTCGTACACTGTGTCCTGTGAGAGGAGTTATAATTTAGCAATTTTTTCATGGCAAAACAGATTCTATTCCCAACAGCCATTCTCGCTTTCAGTTCTTCTATCAAATAATTACTTTCTGTAATTAGGGCACCTAAATACTTAAAGATTTCTACAGCTTTCAGGGCGTGATTACCTAACGTGACACATTCCACTGTTCCACTCGGAGTTCTTGAAGTTTCCATCTAAACAGTCTTCTTCTCATTTATTTGTAGCTTTAGTTCTTTAGCTGCTGTTTCAAATTCTTTCAATGCCCCTGCTAATAATGCTGTTTTATTTTTTGCCGTTATTATGACTTTTTGTATATAGTTGTATTTTTCTTAGTATTTTTTGTATATAGTAGTATTTTTCTTATATACCTGTATTATATCTACATGGCAGACTGATGTACGTATATACTTTTTAAGAACGTATATAACTATGGTATTATTTTAAGGGGACTTTAGTCTCAGAATAAAATTATTTTTCATTTCATTGACTTATGAGAGAACACAGAGCTAACTACTGAGAGAAATAAGTTTACGTAAACATTGAGTCAAAGCCTGCCCTATCACAGATTGCCATTCTTCTCTGGTTCCTACTACCTACCTTGTATTCATAACTAGCCCTTCCTCCCATATGCACATTCCAAAAAGATTTTCTGTGGACTTAGATTTGATTTCATCCAAGCAAAATAGCCCGCACAACGAAGCTTAGGTAACTTAATTAAGGTGCATATATCAAGACCTCCAAATATAGCTCTTAATTCGGCATTATTCCACCTCCATTTGCCTTATTCATAAATGCCACTGTATATTCTAGTTAACACCTTCCTTTCGAATCTGAGAAGGATCTATTCCTGGGATTTACTTTTACATCCAAATCTATTTTTCATTGTTCTTAAACCGGAGTGCCTGCCAAGGATTTGGCTAAGGAGCTAGGGGTGGTCTAAGGATCTAGGCCTGCCGCTGCTCCTTGGAGACTATCACATCAACGACAAATTTGGTGACCCCTCATGTCCATCTCTTCTCTCACAAAATTCTGAAGCATCACATTTTAAAGGTCTTATCTCGGTGAAGTGATACTTAATGTTATATTCTCAAGGAACATTTGGAAGAAATAAAATGCTATTTTTTTCAAATTATTTATTTAAAAAAAAAAGAACGGAAGAAAAAAAAATTGTACAAAGAAAAACATATTTATTACAGTGATTTACTACAACTATTAACAAAAAATTATAATGTAATATCTGTATAATAGGCAGCATTATGTCAAATCAATAATATAACATTTTGTTCAGGAAATACATTCAACATTTATCTAGTGAGTGATCACTTGAAAAATCAGCTTCGGTGATGAAATACAAAAAAAAAAAAAAGAAAAAAAAAATATATCCATGATATAAATAAAACAAACAATTTGAGATATTACAATGATTCATTAACCAATGATATTTATCCATCATTTCATGCATCTCAATTTCTAATTTCCTTCTCCAGAATTTGTCAAAATTTTTTAAAACCACTTGGAATTGCACTTCTGTAGAACTGTGGATGAAATTTTTTGGAAGGGTTTCTTTAGATTATTTTAAAAATTGTTTAGATATTAAATTTTTAAATTACAAATATTCATGATAATATAACATTATATATGTATACACATTAATCCGAGTTGATACTGATAAATCTTAGTGACCATAATCTTTTATAAAAGAAAAAGACAAAAAAATTAAAGAGAAAAAATAAAAACATTATTTTAACGTTAAATTTTAAAAATTTAAATTTAATAATTTAATGACTAATCATACAAGGGGCGGAATATAGAACTAATTAGTAAGATAAAAATGCCCATTAATATAGAAACCATTTTTAACATTCTTCAACATAAATACTTTGGTTTGCTAATACACACTGACATCTGATTAAAACTGAGCTAGTCGTAACTTTTGAGCTTATACAAATTTAATTTCATTCAAGTTGCTTTCTTAAAAGAACTAAAATCAAATGAGGTATCTAATAACAAAAACAGTTCATTCCGTCCTTTCAAAAATTCCATTACTGTCTAAGATCAAAGTTCTAGACAATCTAAACCAGCTGACAAAGTTTTCAAACTCAAGCTCTAATTCAGAGAATTAGGTTAAAAAATGTCAAGTCTTTAATAATTTTACTATTAACATAATTTTATTATTAACACTTTTAAATTTTGAAAATAATTCCATTTATTAAAACAAGTTACTAGTATTTTATTTTAGTAAAGATTTTTTTTTAAATCATTTAAAATTTAGTAAATAAATTTAATCAACACTAAATAATTTTATTGTTTATTATAAACTAACTTTCTATCAAAAGGGCATAACACTATTTTTTTAAAGTTTAACATACTATTAACGTAAATATTTACTAAAAAGTTTATTCACACAACTTTTCTGAACTGAAAACTAACAAAAAATAAGTTTTTCTTATTTGTATTTTTTGAATGATTTTAGAATTTGAAGTTACCCTTTTTGTTAGTAGACACCACGAGTATGGAATGTGACTAAGCAAAGTTGTACGATTAATTTCAGTATGTAACAATTGATAAAAACTATATAATGGAATGGAGGTGGATCGAGGCAATAAAGTTATAGCAAAAAAATATATATATATTTTTTTTTGTCTTGATAAAGAAGCAGCTTTTAAGGCAAGCATCTTGATAAATCTTAAAAAAGAAAGATATCAAGAGCTCACGTTTAAAAATGATAACATAGGTTGACAAGTTGTAACAATGATTTCAAAATTATGGACAAAAAAAAATTGACTTTTTAAAATACAATAAGAGGGTCGACCTAAGTAACATAATGGACAATTTCTTATGCTACAATTATGATGATTAGTAAATGTATAAAATAAAATTTAAACATTATAACCAGAATCCCTTAAACAGTCTCTAAAATTTAACTTTAAAGCACGATGCAACTAGCACATTTATTTTTTCAACTTTTTTTTTTAATCACTACATATCTCTTTATATATAATTTTCTTGTTCTGCTTTTAATCATTTCAATTAATAAAGAATACATCAATGTAGTTCTAACATGGACAATTATAATCAGTATAGAAGAAGTACTAATAAATATATAAGTTTATGAAAAGAAAAGTCTCAGTCAAATTACATCAAACTAGTAAATAAATACGCCTAACACTAAATATATATTTATAATAATATTAATAAATGAAAAAAAAAATTTAAAATTGGTCACTCTGTAATAATATTGCACTTAAAAGCTGATCGCAGTGCTTTAATCACATAAATTCAAAAGTACACAAGAGAATTGTTAAGCATTCACTAAAGATAAGCCTAATTATCCGAAACGCGCATCTCAGTGATGGGTAAAAGTAACAGTGTAAAGTACCACTACGCAAATTATCATAAATTCTGTATATAATGCTTCCGGGCAGTCGCTTATCGACAGCATTACCCCAGGAAGCAACGCACAGGAAATGTGATTGCAATAGGAAGTTGTACCGTACTGCTCCAAACACTTATTTACAATACAATAAAATAAAAAATAAGACGAAAAAAAAATTATTTTTTTCCTTTCTCACACAAACATATCACTTAAATAAAAACTCTTTTATTCACTCTAATATTTGAAAGTTTTTCATATAGTACATTAATATACGACATTGAGCTGGAGCGATGGACAGATATTGGTATTTCATCATGGAATTTCTGCAGCTGAGCGTCGACTGTGCCATCGGGTACTAACTCCAGCTTCCACAGATCGCATCATACGGTGTCATCTACAATTATTATGTTATAGTGAGATAATAAAGTAATAGTAAAATTTAATACTAAAACAGTACTGCAGGTTTATAAAAGTTTAAGATTGTTATTTCCTTAAAGCTTGATACACCCAACAATATTATGGTATTAATATTGTTATATTGGATTGTCTGGAAAATAATGCAGGATTTTGAATTTTCTTTAAAACACCTCTCTATATAACAAACTGTTTACGTTTACTGGATTATTTATTCATTTGTATGAATGCCAACACTTATTAATCCTCTTGCCAACGATAATGTTTTTTAATCTCTGTAGCATTTCATTGCTTAGAAATAATTTAGTCTTTACTAAGGTGCCAATGCGTGATTTTTGAATAATTTGGTTTTAGAGGTTTAAACTCGGCCGGGATGGGACTCAGACAGCCAGAAACAGCAATCAAGTCTGGGACAAGAGTAACATTAAAGTGCACTGTTCAACTGTGGTTCAAAAATTTCAGGAGGGAGATTTCAGCCTTGAAGACAAAGAAGGTCCATGGAAGGACTTCCTCTCTTGATGACGATGTTCTTTGGGCTTTGGTGGAAGAAATCTCCAAAAAAACTGTTCGAGAACTTGTAGGAAAACTTAACCTTAGCAAATCGACCGTCGAAGACCACCTCAAGGCGATTGGCAAGGTAAAAAAGCTTGAAAGTTGAGTTCCACACACATTAAATGACTGCCAAAACAAAACAGCATTCTGAAGTTTGTGCTGCACTTCTTTGCCGAAACACACACACACACACACACACTTTACACTTTTCTGTCCAGAATTGCTACTTTTGATTGGATACTTTATATCAGTTGATGTTCTGGACCGTGGCTTGACAAAGGAGGACCAGCAGAACATTTTCCAAAGCCTCCAACTCATCAGAAAAAAATTATGGTTACAATTTGGTAGGCTTCATTTGGCTTAATACACTATAGCTTCTTAAATCCTGAAGAAACCATCAATGGCGTATTGTATTGTAATCAAATTAATGCAGTGCATCAGAAATTGGCAATAGTGAAGCCATGTTTGGTCAATCGGAAGGGGCCCATTATGTTGCATGACTTCTGGCCACAGGTCTCACGTGTCGCAAAAACTGTTGTAGCTTGGATATGAAATTCTGCCACATCCGCCCTACTCACCGAACAGCTCGCCTACGGATTATCATTTTTTTAAATACCTGGACCATTACTTCCGTGACAAAAAATTTAATGGACAAAGGCAATAAGAAAATGAGTTTTTGGAGTTTATCAATATTAAAACTCGGAAATTTCTTTACGACGGAATGGAAAAGTTGCCAACACGTCGGCAGAAATGTATTAATAGTAGTGGAGACTATTTTGATTGAATAAAACAATTGTAAATCTTTCTTTTTTCATTTTAAACCAAAATCCTGCATTATTTTCACCCTAATAGTAATAATATCACTTTGATGCAACAAAATTTAATTTAAAAAAAATTCTTACCATGGTACCACCACTTTGTTTTCTTTGGATTCTTATTGCATGTTTTCACATAGAATGAATTATCAGGTGGCCTTTTCTGAAAAAAAAGAAAAAAAAATGATTGAAGCTATATATATGAATGATATATTTGTTGTAATGTAAATATTACATAGTGAATTCAATGGGTCAATAGAGTTTTAAATAGTGACACCATGAATTACTGTCAAGGAATAGATGACGAGGAGGAGGAAGACAGGTGGAAGGGGAGCAAGTGCCATATGTTGAAAACAGAAAGTAACCAGCCGCGCGAGAAAAGAACATTGAGACCAATAGAGAGGAACCGGTCGGCAAGTAGTGAGTAGCTAGAGGGGCAGGTGGACCAAGCAGGCTAAAGCATGTGCACAGCACCATGCGTTGCCCGGCAACCTGATAACCAAGATTTGAAATAAACAGATAATTACAAGTTCACATCCCAGTGCCCAGAGGGACATTTCCCCGGCATGGGAAAAAATCCTGTGTAGCCTAAAAGATGAGGAAGATGAGACAAAAAAAAAATTAGTGAGTAGCTAGACGAAGACATGAAAGTGTAAGAATAGAGAAGTCATTTATAGAAGTTTAATACAGTAATACCTTCAGCAACAATACAGAGGAATATTCGCTGCAGAACAGGGTGAGTGCAAAATAAATCATGACAGTTAGAAAGCGCCAAGAGTAGACCCCCAAAAAATTGAATGGAAACTTATAAGTGATATATATGAAATTAATGAATGCTTATATATTATATAATTGGGGTAATGTGTGGTTAACGTCTCAATCCAATCTAAGAAATAATTTTTAATTTTAATAATTTAAAATAATAGTGTGAAATAAATATAATCTGTTCAAAAACTGTTTGTTTACTTTTTCTTACTGAAACGTAACCTTACAACATATACATGAATATATCGTGTTTCTTGCAAAAAAAAATCATTACTAAGTACATTATTGATGGAGCTATACTTTTTGTATTTTATTGTAAATTTCAGCCTTATTTATTGATGAAAAAGACAGAAATTGCATGAAATCGACACAAACCCTTTAAATATAAAAAATAGTTAATTTAAGTTTGTTTTTTTGGGGGGAGGGAGGAGGAAGGGATGATCACAGAATTAGTAGAAATATTACTTAGTCAATGGGAGAAACTATAATAAATCTATGACTAAATTAATTTTTATCTCGAACTTTTTAAAATCTTAGACAAGGTAATTAATTAATTTAATTCGTACGCCAATGAACAATTTATCACAAGGTAAGTCTTTTATTTTCCTAATGAATAAAAACTAAAAATTACTTACAAGTATTGGTAATAGTAGGTACATTTTAAAGAGCCATTTATTTTTTCAATGGTTATTTTAGGAGGGAATATTCATATATAGATTTACATGACATATATTTAATGTCACATTTCACAGATTCGTAACAGTTATGACATAAATAAAATTTTACGCTAAAAATAAATTAAAATAAAAGGAAAATCAAGTAACTTTGACATATTTACCTTCTCTTTACAACTTGAGAGCATGGATACAATGGACAGGCAGACAGTCTGGACTGAGAGCGCCGGGCTCCAATCGTCTGTCAGGATGGAGAGGCATATATGGCCATTGCTGTACACGTGTGGGTGAACTGGAATATTGGGACCAATAAACGTCACCTATAAAAAAAAAGATATATATTTACAAATTGTATTATAACATACATAAGCATAGTATGAAATATTTTAAAAGTTTTTCTTTAATGATTTTTTAAAGGATGACAAAGGGGCTTTTAAGCCAAGTAAAGGTTGGCTTGATAATTTCAAAGCAGGTGTGGAATACGTCTTTTATATTAATTTTTATTTCACAAGAAAATTTTTTTGTACCCAATTAATTTTTTTCATTGCAGATAAGTCAAGGAAATGCCATAAAGACATTTAATACTTGCTCGGAATGGACAAATGATACAAAGTACAAAGACTACTGAATTTTTTATAGCTACGCTGCAAAAGCCTGTAAGTGAAAAAACTAAAATTCTGTTCCATTTTTTCTGCATGCTACAGACAAAGATGTAATGTTTTGAATAACTTTTTGGTTTTTATTTATGAAGATGCATAAAGCCATGATTTGCCATAAAAGCTCAATACCAGACATTCTAATAAAATTATACTTATAGGCTTTTGCAATGTAGCTGTCGATTTACAACAAATATTTAATAAGCAAAGTGTTTTTTCTTTCAACAAGTATCAATTAAATTTGGAGCAAATATAACATCTAATTATAAGAATAAAAATAATTTGTATTGAATACAAAAAAATTAATAAAAATTGTCCGATTTCGATGATTTTTTTCGTTTTGTAGGGAATTTAGTAATATTTCATATAATCATGTGCACAATCAAGAGAAAAGTGTGTAATTTTTTAGTTATTCGCAAATAAAGTTTGTTTTCTTTCATAACTTGTTTGCCTGAATTTTCGGAGAGATTGGGGTGATTGGCCCGCCTGAAGGAGAAGGAAGCCATCGAAATCGGTGGCTCAATCTTGAGATTTGGTGAAAAATTAAGGATGATATGGCTTGCCGATCAAAAACACCATCGATAAATAATATAAACTCCTCCTCTCTCGATCATAGAGACCTCAAGTCGACGAAATGAGACATGTATTCTATGACTACTACAATTAATGTAAGGTTGTGTGGATGCGAATACTATGCCTTGCGTTATCTCGAATATAGTACGTTTTTCGGCTTAAAAACACAGGATCCGATAGTTCCGGAGGAACTATCCAGGTCTTGCTGAACGCATCAAAATCTTCAAGATTTTGTCCCAAATCAATTTTATTTATTTTAGAAAGAAAAACAAAAGTGGAGAACACGAATTGCTAACCCCCCCGTAAAATTCTGAATCCAACGGTACCCCCTTCAGGGTGTTTGAGCATGACAGGAGCTTATATTTGGTACAAAACAGATTTTGAGCCTTACTGTAATAATATATGTGTGGATATATGGGAGATCTCATAGGTTAATTATGGTTATTGTTAAAATAAATATGGAAATTATTCTCCGAAGCGCTTTGTCCTTTCTATTTTGTTTCTTATATGTATTTAAATTAAAAACAACTCGGTTCATTATTTTCACTTGTAGGATTATTTTAAAAGTTTATTCTCACTTTAACTAAGTTAGTTTTCTCTGGCTGATAACATGTAAAGTGAAAAAATGTCAGAAAAAAGGAAGCCAATAGACAATTTTTATTTTTATTATCAAACAATTATTTTTCACACAACTTTAATAAATGTTATTAATATAATATTTTTATTTACTACCCATACTATCTCTTGTCTGAAATTGTTTATAGTTCACAATAGGAATAAGCCACATTGTTCTTAATAAAAAGAGTATTATTGTATATTCAAAGGTCAAAAATACAATATATAGAAAACTATGTGTTCATTCTTCTTATTGTAAAAATAGATAAAGCACTATTATTAATTCAAAAAATTGTTTACATTTCTTAGATCGACATAGCATGGATTCAAGAAAAGGATTCTCTTAATGCCAATAAACGGTGGTCTAAATAATAAATAAATTTATAAATTAAATATAAATATACATTTATATACATACCTCTGGGGAATCAAAAGGATATTTTGGACTAAACTTGAATTGTAGTGTGAAATTTTCACCTTCGTACAAGGTCCCTTCCGCTCCGCGCATTTTAATAGTCCATCTGAAAGTAAAGAAAAAAAAAAAGTTTTACCACAATTAAATTTAAAAATATACATATTTAAAATTAGGAAACTAAATATAAATTTTAAGATCACATTAAAAAATGTATAACTGGCTTTAGGAAATGAAACTTTTTGTTACGATCAATATAGCAAGAACGAAGTGAAATTATGTAATTTATTATAAACATTTGAAGATTCCTTCCAATTTTGTTATTTGATAGATTCAAATAACATATTCCACTTAATGTTATTGGGATCATACAACTTGTTTAAATAAGTGAAAAAAACAAATTGTGAAATATTTCAAAATGAATTACATACCAGGTTTAATATGAATAAATAAATAAGTTCAGTATGCCTCATAACATTAAACGGGGTATGTATTATGATAATAAAATGAATATCTTATTAAAGAATATGAACGATAAAATAGACAGAGTAAAAAAAAGTTGTATATATTGTCAGTTATATGTTAATCTGTCACACATTTCATATTTGTTACTTTAACATGGTGAAAAGTAATATGATGCAATGTAAAAATCGTAATAAGATATGACTTAATATAATTTCTAAAAAATCAAAAACAGAATTCTACAGCATTAAGATAACTGTAAGAACAAAAAAAATCAATATTACTGCGATGGAACAATATAGATCAATGTCCAATCATAACTTTGATTATGAAAATGCTAAAATATAGAGTATGGTAAAATTAATACAAACAGCAGAAAATATAAAGCAATACGTACAGAATAAGATTAATTTTAAAATAGACAATAAAAACCTAAATTAACAGAATACAGATATGATAAACAACACCAACACAGTTTGTAAAGAAAAAAAAAGGTGTATGATTGGGTAAAAAGAAATTTTTAAAAGTGCACAATAAAAATTAAACTTCTTGTTTCCATTAATGGTAAAATTAAATAAATTTCTAGTTTTAATTGAAATAAAATGGTTGAAAAATATTTCATATTTAAAAAAAAAAAAAACACTGAAGAAATACGAGTATCATTCATTAAATTCCTTGAAGAAAATAAAAATAAAGGCCCACCTTGGGAATAAATTTATTTTTACACTACTTTTTTTTAAGTATCTAGGTTCATTTTCGAAACAAATTATTGGTTGTCAAATTATCGCATGTATTGTTTGTTTTTAAATAGGAATCGATACTTCACTCGATTTAAAAAAAAATCAATTAGGGTTCACTTCGGAAATAAGTGACTCATATAAGGTAAACTAACTATTATTATTATTATTATATAATACAAATAATTTGTCTTGGATGATGGAAAACATCCAAAAATGTTGAAAAATATAATGTACAAAAAATTGTCCAAAATGAAAACAAATAATTTAAAAACATTTAACTCATAATCTAGTCTTAAATGGCATTTTGGTTTTAAATTTCCCCGCAAGAGTAATCAAAAACAATATGGTGGCAGCATACCTGCCATATTAATGGAGAAAAATAAAAGAACCTAATATTTGTAATGCTTAAGTACACATTGCTTAAATAGAAAACATTGTATTGTTTTCAGAAAAATTAAACTTTGATTATTTTAAATTAAGATAGCAAATGAGCTAAAATTATTTTAATTTTAAAAATAAAGTTATTTTTCTCATAATAAAATAATAAAAGACTATACTAACAGGCTAAGGTTCTCTCCCTGATCAGAATCAACAACAACACCTGGCGGTGGTTCCTTTATCAGGGACATTAATTCTTTTTGTAATCGCCTCTGAAATCAAACAAAACACATTTTATTAGTTCTTATTCAAATAAGCATTTAAGATGGTTCATAACACAATTTATAGAATAATTTTTAATTATTTATCTAATTAATATTATATAAGATTAAACCAGTACAGTACAAAAGGGTTTAGTAGTAATAGCAGTAGATCGGGTATAAGATAAGAGAAAATAAGAAAATAATTTTTATTTTCAGTGAAGATAATGTAAGAAAACCCAACTTTTAAAAATAAAAAAAAAACTGTTATAGTATAAATAGGAAAATCTACTTTTTTTAAAAAATAATTTTGAATCTCTAGTTTTTACTTTCACATTGAAAAACCTTTGTTTTACCTTAAGCTTGTAAGTCTCCAGACAAAATAAAATTATTTTTGTAACAGTATATTTTTTACTTTGTTTCCACTTAAATTAAAACCACTTCCAAGTAACAAACATTTTGCTACTGTTATTGCAAAAGGTCGTACGTAACATTTTAATGTGTTATTTCTATTTGTGCTAATGGTGACATTTTGTAGTCTACAACAGCAATAAATAGTCGGCTACTATGGAAAATAGTAAAGAGAAATAAAATATGAAATTACACTAATAAATCATAAAGCAATAATCAGTTTTTATGCTCTTTCATAAAAAAAATCAATTGTTACGTATGACCTTTAGTAATAACAGTAGCTATTTGATACCTGTATGTACATTAGTGTTTTTGAATAAAAAAATTTTCTTTTTCTTCTTTTAAGAATCAAGTTAGTATTAGTATACTTATTTTAAATTTTTAATGAAATAATAAATTTATAAGTTTGATATAGATGAGACTTAACAAAATTTTGTGTCATATTTGCAATGCATAAATTGACGAAGTTAGCCCACTATCCGTCAAAAGTTTTTGACTAACAGAAAAGAAACAAGTTGTTGATGGATTGAGCAAGAAGTGACATCACCTTCTTATCTCAACTTATCAATCACTATGAATACAGTAATAATGTAATACATACTTGGATATATTCAAAAACTGATTAAACTTTTGATATTACAAATATCATCAGCATATGAAAATGTGTAGAAAGCTAATTTATGATAGTAACACGTTAAATAAAGTTTGCCTCAATCATGCTCATATTATTATTAACGTTTATAAGTATTTAATTTTACAAACTGCTTAGTTATTTAATGATATTTTAAAAACAATTTCTAGAGAGATTTAATAAAAAAAAAATTTAGTAACAAATAAATTAAATTTGATAAACAAATAATAAAAATTTTAATATATTCCAAAAAATGGGAAAATAAGTTTTATTTTTACAAAACAAAATAAAATTTCGAGCCTAGAAACAGTTGTTACACACTAATCCACAAAAAAAAAAAAAGTAAATACATACATTTACACCTAAAAAGCAAAATTTATTGTACCTCATATTTTTTTAAAAGATTTATAAGAAATAAATACTATCAATAAAATAGAAGTGAAGTTTCAATGAAACAATTAAAACAGTATAATTCATTTATTGGTTTTTATATATGGGTTTGCTTTAGTTGGATTGCAGAGAACTAAATATCAATAATACAATAATACTTTTTTATTTGATCAATATCACATTATAAAAAAGAAAAATTGAATAAGTTTTATTAAAGTACTCAACATGATTACTTTTAAAATTTTAGAATACGATGCTGTACAATATTTTTATCAGTAGTTAAATTAAAATCAAAATTTCTTGAATTGTTTTAGATATTTTTTCGCTGCTCACAGTCACTGCAGATAGTGCTTCTATCTCCAAAAACAATGATTACTTAACATTATACACAGTTAAATACTAAATGGAGATAGTGTTTATATTTGTGTTTGCTTAACTGAGTTGTTTTCCATACTCACAATTGTGAAATCTAAACATACAGTTTAAAATAAATTTTACTGCTCCTTAAAAATTTCTATTCCTGTGAGTAAATCTGCCACTGTTTTTTAAATAATGAAGTCAATTAATGAAGTTCATCCAAGAAATGAGAGATTAAATAACATCCTTTTTTATTATTTATTTTTTTATCGTTAAATTCCTTAGATCATTCTTATTTCAATGAAAGGATGCCACTTATGGCATGAGCACACATCTGGCAAAAAGTTGTTACTGGCCAATGTTGGTCGTTAAATGCCAATGGCCTATGTCGTTATATGGCAAATGTTTGCCATATGTGTACTATTTATGTTAAACAACTTGTCAATTGGAAATGATTGGATAAAGTCATAACTTATTTTATGTAATTACCAGGATTAGGGTCCTTTTTTTAAAATTAAAATTACAGAACAAATAAATAATCATATACAGTTTCCATAACTACTATAATAAACTTCAATAAAAAGAAACTTGAATACAAGGTAGGAATCAAACAAACAATTCAATAATATATTTAATAAGTTGTGGATATACAAAGATGAACACATAAATATAACATTATCAAAAAATAAATTTATCTCATGATAATTTTTTTAATATAACAAAAGTGTAAAAATAATAATCTTTTATCAATTCTGATACTAACCTCCCACCTCTCTCCATCGAGGATTACTTTGGTGTTATGTTTACTTTTAGAAAATCTCAGTGCCATATCTCCTATTAATATAATTTATATATAATCTAATAGAGCCTACTTTAAATAAAAAATAAACTACTATCACAGTGACTTTATCATAGCCGCAGTTCCCCTGCAATATACAACAAAATACATTAAACATATTTTCTTACAATGCTTACATAAAAAAAAAAAAAAATCTCCAGAGAAAACAGACTTGAAAAACAAATTAGAGAAAATCATTCGGTATTTGAACTTTAAGCAAAAGAGCTTTCAGAGCACGAGCTTCATAGGTGACGGTGTTCTTCCCCTCTTGCCCTAAGCTTTCTTCCAAAGGATTGTCAGGAGTTGTTTTAATATCTTTACCGTAAGCCTCACAATTGTCAAGGAACTCGAGGCAGTCGTGGTAGAAAGTATCTGTAGGAATTATCATACGCTTAGCAAGGTTTTCTATTAATGAAAGCATACACCGTTTGGAATAGAACCACGTATCAGTACCCAACTTCCTATTGAACGGTTCTAGACTACGTATCAGTCTGGATATCCCAAACTCATAATTCCCCTTTGCACAATATAGAGTTCCTATAACTAGATTAACAATAGAAAGATGATAAACTTTCTTGTCAGGATCTTCATAATTGAGACGTTCTTCTTCTTTCTCGATTTTTCTCATCAGTTCTTCTGCTTCTTCGTTCATGGCTGTCATTATGTAAGAAACACACAAGTTGGCAAGAACTATGGGACTAACTCCTAATAAATTGTTATAATATTTCTTTACAATGGGTTCATAAAAGCCCGCAGCTTCTTTGTACTTGTTGTCTTGCATGAAGAGAACATTTGCAACATGTAATCTCCAAACATCATTTTCATTGCAAAACTCTACAGACTTGTGAAATATGTTCTCTACTTGACTATATTGCTCTAAATCCCAATAAATCTTTGCCTGAGCCATCAAAACAGGTATATAACTTTCAAGGGTCTCTTCATAGTCTGCAACAGCTTTTTTAACTGCAGCATCATCATGTATTGCTCGGGCTTCTTGGACTCTCTTTGTCGACTTACGCAGGCTCTCTGTATGCCTCACAGCGATCTCATCAAACTTTCTGTATGCGTCATCAGGAGAGGTCTGTTGAGTTATCAGTGCATCCAAATAACTATACAAATACTGACTTAGAAATTTCTGTGTCAAATGCTGGTTCTCGGCCATAACATCAGCAGCCAAATTGTAGTAATCATATTTACAATACAATAGTAGTAAGTTGCCTAAGGTTTCAGGAGGAAATGGATTCTGTTGAAGAAGGAATTGAAGTTTCTCAAAACCTTCAGTTGGTCTGATCTCCATGTTGAGGAGAGCTTGATTGTGCAGGGTAACTGCATCAAGCTCCTCCTCCGATCGAGGAGGCATGTCTGTCAGAGCATCTTTTGCAGCGTCTATGTTACCCAGCTGAAACTCTATGGCGGCTTTTAGGTTGAAGGCTTCCACAAGAGCGGTCTCGTGGAGGGTAAGGGTATTGCCGACACTCCTCACCTCTATTCCTTCTGTCGCCATACCGACGCTAAGCTCGGGATGCTCCCTGATACCCCGCTCGATAATATCGGCGATATGTTTCATCGACTGGGCATATTCCTTCATGCGGTAATAGCACAGGGCCACGCTGTAGGACAGGTACGGGCTGTAACCTACGGTCACGAGGGCCGTGTTGAACTTGGCCAAAGCCTCCGCGTAGCGCTCCTCCTTGTAGAGGATGCAGGCGTGATTCACATCCATGTCCGGGTCTTCTTCCGATATATTCTCAAGCAAAGCCCTAGCACTGATCAGGTCTTCCTCTCCGTACTTGATGGCCGCTTTGAGTTTGGTGACGGATGTGTGGTACTGAGGATCGTCCAGAGCCGCCAAGGTCTTGAGAGCCTTTTCGAAATCGCAGGCCTGGTAGAGGGCCTGGGCTTGGTAGAGGCGGTAGTCCTTCTCCTCGGGGAACAGCTTCACCAGCCTCTCGTAGTAGCCGGCCGAGTCCAAGAACTGCTGGCAGTTGAAGTAGCAGAAGGCGAGCAGGGACAGGCAGGCCCGCGATTGGTCGTTGTTCTTGAGCTGGTTGGTCAGCAGAGGAATGGCGTCCTGGTACCTGCCTTCCTTGATCATCGTGTAGATGGCCTTGGTGTAATCACCATCCTTCACGGAGTAGGCGTGCATGTACATCCTCGCCGCTGTGGGACGAGACAACTGGGCCTGTGTTGACGAGTGGTTGCCACGGCAGCGGGTCAGCTGTTCCCGGCTATTCTTTAGTATCGACCTGCCACTCTAACCTCACGGAATCGTAATCTTTAATTTCATTTAAGCCAAATAATTTATTTTATTGCTCTTTTATACAAAAAATAAATATAGAGAACTTAATTATGTAGATGATTAATCATATGTAATTTAAATCCGCCACCATATGCATAAAATACTTCACTATAAGAAATTAAATCGTTAAAAATTTGCTAAATATTCATAATGTATACTCAACCGTCGTAACGTATTTTGTATCGGAGTATAACTACAAAACCAATTAAACTATGACTAAATTAAAAATAATGACACGATCCGATAAAGATAAATACTTAAATCAAAATAAAGATTTGAAAAACATTTAAAACTAAACTTATTTAAATTCTAATCCCGAAACCTAAAATTATTCACTAGACTAAATAAACCAAGTAGTTTTTATTTTATAGACCATTAGTCTTGTCACAGACCACTATTTATCAAATTATTACATCCGCCTGAAACTTCGTGAATAGCTTCATCTCATCGTAACTTAAAACTATTATATTTAAGAAAACATTTGAAATTGGGGCATTTTTAATCCGGAGATCGGCAAACTTTGCCTATTTAATTAGGTACTTAAAACTCGTAAAAACACTTTTGCCTTCCAGTTGAATCGTAAGGTAATTTGAACACAAAATTGAGAAAATATGTTAACTGCCGTTTGGCCTATATAACTTCGTTATTTTGACATTTGGGGGTGTAGGTCACGCCAAACGGTTCTATATTATTGAAGGCCACCCTTTTCGTTGACTTTGTGCTCAAGTTATCTTACGATTCAAGTGGAAAGCAAATGAGTCTTGACGAGTTTCTAACACCTAATTAAATAGGCAAAGTTTGCCGATCTCCAGATTGAAAACGCCCTAATTACATAAATAAAATAAAATAGTTGTAAGTTACGATGAGATGAAGCAATTCACGAAGTTTCAGGTGGATGTTAATAATTTCATAAAAAGTGTTTTGTACCACGGACTTTAGATTTTCAATTAAATATTTGCTGCTTTAAAGAAATGAGTAATGTTTTAAATAAAGTATTTGATTTCTATTTCTGAATATGCGTGAGACTAAGATTGACCAGAAAATCTCAAAACCGTACTTTCTAATAAAATTGTAACTACAGACTTTTACTATGCAGACTGGAAGCTAATATAATGTTTTAATAATTTATCTTTTGTACTAAAATTCACAGCCTTTATTATAGATAAAGCAACAACGACCTTTTCAGATATTCACATTTTTATCAGCTGACTATAGAAAATATAGGTCGTTGAATTTTAATTTTCCTTAAAACGAAGATAACTGCTGAATATTATTTAAATATTTTAAAATAATAATATAAGTCAGTTAGATTATAGCCGGGCGAGAGGTGCTCATATGTAATTTTTGCGAAGAGCCGTTATAAAGACGGCGAAAAATGTTTGTATATATCATAGGTGGGGAAACTTTTTATCGTTAGAGGTCGCAATGAGATTAGGCAGTGATCATTCTTTAAATTTTACTGTTACTATTTTTATTAATAAGTAAATAAACACCCATATACATGCATTCAATTTAATTCTATTAATTTTCAAATTTTCGTAATCTAAATTAATGAATATTAATTAATTCTAGCGCTAGATAAATGAAGATCGCGCAAACATGTTTGGAGGGCACCACGGGCGGATTTACGGGGGGGGCTTTCGGGCTGAAGCCCCCCCCCCCAAAATGGAAAAATATAACCATGTTTTATGGGAAAAAAATTTATGAAATACCTCTTGAAGTATTATTCTTTGTGTAATTACATTTAATACTACTTAAGGAATAACTTAAACACCATTTCATATATGTAGTTAGTTTCTTTCTGTTTTTCCAAAGTAATTATCGTTATTTTTATGAAAAAAAAAGGTTTCGGGCTGAAGCCCCCCCCCCAAAATTAAATCCTGAATCCGCTAGTGGAGGGCACATGTTTACCACCTGAGATATATATATGATGCAACATAATATCATTAATAGCCCATTCGACAGACAAAATTGTTGAAGCTTTATACTTCATACCTCGACTGTTTAAGCAACAATTTATTTAATAAATCTTTAGCTAGTCCCACTGGAAAATATTAGTTAGTTAGTTTAATAGTTAGACAATATCCAAAATCAATTCAGGAACTTAATGTAATCCATTATTTTAATAGCTCAAGACATACTTGTTTGGTTCACAAGAGCCTTCGTAAGTAGTTATCTCATTTACTAGTAATATAGATATCGATTATACAGGGCACATGGAGTCTATGGGGAGAGGGGAAGGAGGGCTGATCTACAAGGCCTACAAAACGTGACAACTATCCCATGTCAACCATAGTGACTAACTAAGAGGCTTTTATGAAGAATTGTGATCTATCTAAAAAAACAACATTTTTTGAGATTTAAGACAGGGTCTTGACTTGATGCCCACTTCGAAATGTTCAAAACACAATTCATCCCGTCACGATTCGACTTCGAAACCTCCTAATTTTTTAAATGACATTTATCAAAGTTATCGTTGTTTAAGAATCGATATGGGAAATAAAAGATTCTAATTAAAATTAAGTTTTTATCTCATTTATATACGTCATATACTGCTGTTATTATATTTAGAGCAGATTATCGATAATGCAATCAAATCTATAAATTAGACGGCATCAAGTTCTTATTAAAAGGCTACTTGAACAAGAGGAAGTAGGAGTAGAGCAGAATGCCATGCAGAAGTATAAAAACAAAGGACTCCAAAGAGGTAGGACAGAGGGGATAATAAAACGGAGAGTCTATGCCAAAAGGAAGAGTCGGGGTACCGCCCAGACCGGTCCTCCTTCAGGGATCTGCAATCCCTTCTCTATATACATCTATCTTCCTCTCTGCTTCCGATCCTTCCAATATATATAGTGTCAAGTCTATATTCAAATCTTCCAGACATATATATTATAACAATGTATTACCAAAACTCGAATTTTTATTTTCACTTACATATATATATATATATATATATATATATATATATATATATATATATATATATATATATATATATTCAATATATAGTAAGGGAAAGTATTGCGGTTCAAAATAATTAAGTCGCGCAAAATGATATGTGTGGCAGTGAATAGGCTCCAAAACGATTAGTCGTAAGAAACTGAAATTACGTATTTAAGATAAGTATACGCCTGGCATGCTACAATTTTTTTCTTCTGAAAATCGGCTAACCGGAAGTCAATTTTTTTAACGGCTCTAACGATTGTGATTATATCAATGTTTAATTAAATGGTCTTTAATACCAGGTAATTCTTATCCCCGTTAATGTCGGGTTAATAAACCTTTAATTTGGTTTATTTTAAATAATCAACTATAAGTACCCTAATATATACAAATTTTAATATTTATATCGCTTTAATCTATACAAGTATACATTAAATAATACCAACAATAGCATTTATGAAAACCGCATTTGTATATTTATAGAATATTGTCGGAGTCCGTATTATATTAAGCTCATGTTACGTACGGAAGAGTGTTATAATATTTCGGGCGAGCTCGGATGCGCTCTTACTGCTTTAGTTCCCCAATTACAACTATTCTCCATTACGATCTTTATTTATTTAGTTATCAAATTTTTTCATATTTTATATTTAACTATCTGTTATATTCTAAATTAATAAGAAATGGTAAATTGTTTCAAATAAAAAAAAATAAAGGCACTTTAGAGGAAGCTGATATTGGATATTAGCCATTTAAGCCCTGTTAGAGAACATCAATCAGAATAAACACTGCATTTTATTTAAAACTGCTTAATTGTACTCTGATATAATGAATTTAATCAAAATCGTAAGAGCCGTTTTCGAGAAAATTGTAAAAATGTGTTTAGGCCATGAAATAAAGTGCCACTTGCGGTTAGCCGATTTTGACAAAAAAGTTGTTGTAACATTCCTAGTATATAAAAACTCTGAACATGCAATTTCACTTTAGTACGACTTTTCGTTTTTCAGCTAGACTGTTAACACACACACACACACAGACCATTTTGCGGGACTTGGTTATTTGGACTCAGGGGACCTCAAAACGTGTATTTCACTTGTATTGAAAACTAGGATTCATAAATAGGTAAAGGAAAGTAAAAAGGCTGAATATAGCCTTTGGAAATTGACTAAAGGAAAATGTTTTTTCAAGTTCAAAATGTATTTCCGGCAATAATTTACGGAAGGTATACGTATATATCTTTGGAAAGCTGAGGATTTTAGAAAAAAAAAATTATTCCGAAAAATCAAGTAAAATTTTAGAAAATTAAATTACAGAATAATTTGATAAATTTTCTTTCTGTTAAATCATTACATTATTCACTTAAAAAAAATGTAACAACTTTTTACCTATCGATGGTAGTTAATGAAAATATTGTAACTCTATTATAGTAAACTTACAATTAATAGTGGTACTTACAACCCACAATCATTTATAGGTTAAATATACAGATGTGCATTCGAATCTATGGAGGCATATATAGCTCAGAGACTGGAACTGGAGTTATGTGGTTTACAAAAATAGTCGGAGTTATGAGGTTTTTATTGCTAATCTTCGATATAATATAAAGGGGTTGTGTTGTTTTAATGAGTTGTTACAGGTTAACTGTTAGGTTTATGGTTTAGCTGAGTAAACAATGCACTTCAAAAACTTTGTAATAGGACAACATTGCCTGAAAATAATTTATATTCTAAATAGAACGATAAGTGAATGTTGTGTTATACGCCAACTTGAATTTTATAGGATACGAAATATATAAAAATATTTGATATTGTTTACAAGGCTCAATTAGTACAGGTTGCTTCTGTTCTGTATTCGGATCGCGATAGATACGTGACAGTGGTGAAAATCGAACCCTTAAACGGATCCCA